GGGTTTGTATTATTTGATTTTAAATTATGTGTCACGGAAGGTTGTTAAACTTTGGGTTTGTATTATTTGATTTTAAATTATGTGTCACAAAAATTTGGTTTTGTAATATGTTTTTATAAAAGTTAATTTTGTTTTATTATGATATCATTCAATATGTTTGAAAAGGAAATGAACAAGTTTTAAAAATCAGGGGTTGCCTCGGTAGCCTTGTGTGGCACTTTAGGCCCAATCGGGTTTAAGGTGTTACATAAATCCCTCGTCCAAACTCAACAAATCCTACATATGGTACATGGGCACTCAACAATTTAATTGTAATGGCATGACTGATTAATTCAATGGAGAGCCATATAAGATGTAGCTACATACCATTCAAGACTGTAAAAGCAATATGTGATGTAGTCAAGGAAAATTATTCGGACCTGAAAATGCCTCTCAAGTGTTCGAGATCAAACTCAAGTTAAAGGAAATTCGACATGAGACAGTTGAAGTGGCCCACTACTACATCAATTTGAAGATCATATGGCAGGAACTCAATATGTATTATGAAGTGAACTGGGGTGAAGGCACAGAGGACACCAAGTTCATGACACAATTCAACAAAGAACAATACAAACTTTTAGCAGAGTTAACCATGAATTAGATGAAGTATGCGATCATCTTGGGTAGAATGCCTTTACCAGTCATCGTCGAACCTTTCCAAAGGTCCGAAGAGAGGAAAATCATCGTCGAGTCGAGATGAGAGATGTGAAGGAACCTAAATCCGTGACCAACACTAGTCATGTCATGTTGAAACCTCAACCTTTATCTCTAGGGGTCATCAACCTCAGAAAACTCGAGTAGAAAGTGACTCAGGGCTAAATCAATCAAGAGACCACTTATAGTGCATCCACTGCAATTACACCAGTCACACAAAGGAGATGAGCTTCAAGCTTCATGGCTATCCCAGAATAACAAAAAACCAAAAAGATAAGAAGGCTTTATTGTCCTCGAGCATCTTATTTATATCTAATGAAGTTTTCCTAGATGTTCGTCTAACCAAATCTCAACTTGAAACTCTCCATAAGATGCTTGGTACACTAACCGTACGTGGATCATTGGCCGTTCAGGTACTGCCATTAATATCACCTCTGAATATAGTGATCAGTCCTTTTAGATTCTCGATTAGGACGCCTATGATAATATGACAGGCAATTCGTCCCTGTTTCACACATGTGCCCTCTGTCACAACCAATCCCATATCCGAATAGCATATAACTTATACTCAAGTTGTTGGAATTGAGGTTGTTCAACTCACCAATAACTTTTCACTTAAGAATAGTTCTACATGTTCCTTATTTATCGTGTAACTTGCTTTCAATTAGTAAGCTCACTGAAGATAAAAATATCCTTGCTGAATTTTTTGTTCTTGATTGTGTTATACATGAACACAAATCGGGGAGGATGATTAACACTGCTAAGGTAGACAATGGACTATATTTATGAGATAATCACAATGATATGAATAAACAAGACAACTTGCAAGTAGGATTAGCTCTTTCTACTTCGAATGAGGATATCATAATGTTGAGGCACCATAGGTTTGGGCATGCAAACTTCTTGTATTTGAAGCACTTGTTTCCTTAGTTATTTCGTAATAAAATGCCAATTCCTTTAAATGTGAAACTTGCCAATTATCTGAACATATTTGTATGTCATACCCCTTAAACCTTATATTCAATCCCAACCGTTCTCTTTAATTCACAATGACCTTTGGGGGCTAACCTAGTTAAAAATGCCTCGGGAGCTAGATGGTTCATCACCTTTATTGATGACCATAATAAATTATGTTGGGTCTATCTTCTTCAGGAAAAATATAAAACACTAAAAATATTCCAAAACTTTCATTCTATTATCCAAAATCAATTTAACTCCACCATACACATGCTCCACATCGATAATAGAAGAGAATACTTCAACTCTGTTTTAATCCCTTACCTTTTCGATCAAGGAATTATACACTAAAGTTCATATCCCGACACACCACGGAAAAATAAATTTTTGAGAGAAAAAATTGACACTTACTAGTTGTTCCAAAGTCCTCAACCTCCAAACACCTTTAAATGCCCTACAAAATGCCTTTCCACTGTTTTGTGTTCCTACACTACCAGCTAAAAATTTTGGTTGCAGGGCCTTTGTCTCTTGTCATCAACCCAAATAGTCTAAACTGGATCCTCGAGCTAACATATGTGTCTTTATTGGTTATTCTTCCACACAAAAGGGTACAAGTGTTCTTCTCCAACCTTACGTCACATGTTTGTCTCTCGTAATGTCATATTTTTTTAATTTAAACCCTATTTTTCAACAACTCATCTTTAATGGGAGATTCTCAATGAAGATGAGAATCTTAATACTCTTCTTATCATACCTTTCGATCCTATCCCACCATTCCTATCACACAAAATTTTGTTAACCCAAATAACCATGATGTTCTCATAATTCCATACTTGCACGTTTTCCTACATTGCTGAAAAATAACTTTGTTCTTCCCATTGTTGACCTTCTCACCGAAACACAACAACCTCATACCTCTGAAAATCAACAACAACGAGCTCTTGAACTACTTGTTTATTCACAACATTGTCATTCTTCTGAAGCTGACACAACAATCGTTCCAATCTTATCCAAAATCGATGATTGTTTTATACTAGAAGTATATCATACTTCATCATCCATTGATCTTCTGATTGCTATTCGTAAGGACACAAAGACATGTACCTAGAACCCTATCTCTCGATTTGTATCTTATGAGAATTTATCAAAGGCATACAAGACTTTTATGGCTAATGTTAATCATGTAGAGACCTCAAGAAATGTGAAAGAAACTCTTGAATCAACCGAATGGAAACGCATTATCATGAAAGAGATGAAGGCACTAAACAACAATGAACATGGCAAGTTTCAGCCTATCATATGGAAAAAACAGTAGGGTGTAAGTGGATCTTCACCACAAAATTCAAAGCCGACGACAATATTAATTGGCACAAGGCTCAGCTTGTGGCCAAAGGTTTCACCCAAACTATGGCCTCGACTACGATGAGATATTCGCACCCGTTTCAAAACTTAATATTGTTCGAGTTATTTTTTCTCTTGTTGTTAACCTCGATTGGCCTTTGACTCAATTAGATGTAAAAAAATGCCTTCCTTAATGGTGAATTAAACTATGAGGTATATATAGATTTTCCACCAAGGTTTGAAGAAAAGAAGGTCAGTGTTCAAGCTAAGAAAGTCTTTATACGGGTTGAAACAGTCTTCAAAGGCCATGACTAGCATAAAATACACTCAGGGGCAGACGGATCATATGTGTTTTACAAACACTCGAGAACTGGAAAATATGTTATTCTTATCGTTTATGTTGACGATATTGTCCTCACAAGGAATGATTTGAGTGAAATCAATTAATTAAAAAAAGTTCCTTGGCATAGAATTTGAGCTTAAGGACTTGAGATACCTCAAATACTTCCTTGGAATGGAATTAACAAGGACTCTGATGGTTATTTCAATTTCTCAGCAAAAATATGCTCTCGATTTGCTAACTAAAATTGGTATGTTGGGTTGCAAACCTACCGAGACCCTAATGAAGTTCAATTTGAAGTTAGGCATTGATGAGGATGGAGAAGAAGTTGATAGGGGAGATATCAATGGCTCGTAGGAAAACTCATATATTTATCACACACACGACCCGATATTACATTCGTTGTAAGTGTCATCAATCAATATATGTATGCTCCAAGGGCAAAACATTTAAAGGTTGCCTACAGAGTGCTATGGTATTTGAAAGAAACATCAGATAAAGGTCTACAGTTCAAGAAAACTGAAAGTCGATACGTGGAGATTTACACTGACGCGAATTAGGAAGGTTTAGTGAATGATAGGCGCTCTACGAGTGGCTACTATAACTATGTATGGGATAATCTTGTGACATATAGAAGTAAAAAACAATCCTTCGTAGCTCAAACCAGTGTCGAGGCTAAGTATCGAACTTTGTCTCATGGTAAATGCGAAGGAATTGGGATACAATGATTGATGGGGAACTCAAAATACCATATGATAGACCCATGAAGATGTACTGTGATAACCAAGCAACAGTCAATATAGCACATAATCTAGTCTATTACTACCGTACCAAACACGTGGGAATATATCAACATTTTATCAAAGAAAATGTGGATTCGGGGTAAGTGAACAAAACCTACGTACCCACTAAACAACAAGTTGCAGACTTATTAACTAAAAGTTTAAATAAAAATCTGTTCGAAGACCTTAGTGGAAAGCTGGGTTTGATAAATATCCACACGCCTGCTTGAGGGAGAGTGTTGGAATTCTGAAAATTAAGGAACATAATTATTCGTTATTCCTAGGAGTTGAATTAGTGTAAATAATCTCTAAATCTTAGTTCTAGATTTTTAGGAATCATTTCCTATTCTTTGTTGTCTACTTTCCTATAAATTGTAATCTATTGAATCTTTGGAAGATAAAGAAAAATAAGAATATTTTTCATCTCTTAGTTTTGATCACATGGCAAACCATATTTTTCACCTGCTTTACCATATCGTGAAGATAAGAATTGTCAGGAAACTAGTTGCCAACTTTCAAATGGAAGAAAGCAAGAGGCGATGGAATAGGCACTTACCAGAAACACCATCCTTTTCCATGAACGAAATGACACTATAGATGTGAAGTCTAAAACGAACATAGCTCTGGGATTTATTGACATCCAACTCTAATATCACTATTCATTAATAGCACTGAAGGAAAGCTTGTTTGCGATTAATGCAACTCTAGAGACCAGCAAATGTCAAAGCATACATATGTCAATTGTCAACTTCTTTACATGAAGCAACCATGAATCGGAAATAAAATAATTTAAAAAAAGGCGTAATCAGACAAAACAAGCAACTTATAGAAGGGAACTAGTGAAATCCATAGACAACACCAGCAGGATATCCTGGAAAAAGGTCTTCTATTCATTTTGTCATGAAAAAAAGGATAGGGCACAAAACTTTACAAGAAATAGGTGCACAGTACCCAAGGACACAATTTCACTATATTTTTCTACAATTCAATGAGCATGCTATTTACAGTTTTGAGTTCTTCGAGCTCCTCCCTGCTAGTAATTCCAGGATCAATTTAGCATAACTGAAAAGGAAGATAAATAATATAAACAAATATCTTTTTAAATAAAAGTCAATTATAAGAGAGATCTTTTGTGCAGTTGAATTGTAACCTGGAACTGTGGCTTCTTCAAGGTGTGTACTCTTTTTATAAGCTTCTGCATGAGGAAAAAACGGCTAGTGACACCTCTGCAAGTTCCAATCACAATAACCGACACTGACACAAACATAAAAAAAGAAAAAGAAACTAGGTTCTGGTAGCATGAGGAAAAAATGGTTTGCGAGTAGTGACACACCCCTGCAAGTTCCAATCGCAGGCAAAAGAACCTTTTCTAGTACATGTTCCCCAAATTTTAATTCTCTGATCACGGAACAATTTTAATCAGCATGTGAATTGTATTTAAGTCTACAATTTCAAGGGCAAAGTCTTAACATGGTGTTCATGGCTTGGCTTGAGTTTGCAAATAAAATGGTTACCGTCTGATAATCATACCATACAACTTCTGTCAACTAAATATAATCAGGCATAAACAGGTCGAACTTTATCTCTACAAATCTGTATATGATAAATGTGGAAATAAAGCAAAGTACTCAAACACAGTAAATGCATGGGAAAATTATAAAAGATAGCCAGGGTGAGGACGGAGTGTATAATCAAAACTTCAATGAAGTGACAATATCATGATTCATAACTAAACTGAGTAAAATATTTATTAATGGTGTCATTTTCAATGTCTACAAGCTGTTAAGAATATCATATGACCACAAAGGGATTACATGAGTAGTAATCACCTCAGAAGGGTCCAAAATCAAGAGATTGAACTGACGCATCCCATTCTGCTAATTTTTAACCTGAATCCCAATGATTGTTCTTGAACGTCCATCATGTTGGAAGTATAAAGGCCTGCCCATAAAAGCTACAGTAAAAACAGGATCATAGAATGTAATAAGGAACTTAGTCTTCTGTTTCTTATTAAAATTAAGAAAAAAATGGAAAAAAACAGAATGACATTCCTTTGATTGGTACCTTAGCTAAAAGGGACCATTAAACAAAGTATAGCTAGCAATGTTGATGATTACTTACGCTCTATTGCTGACTACAACTTGACTGGAACTGGATACAGTTAGCCCTTTATCTGAAAAGTAATTCCACACCCAGTCTATCAGAACCTGAGGCCCCTCACTTTTCCCTTTAGAATTATAACTCAATTTGCCCGATCCATCACAAGAGTGCCTTCCCTTATTCAAACCATGCTGGCGATGAACATATCTATCCATACTATAGGTCCAGAAACTTGAACTGCATTCCTTTGCGTCACTGGTTGTCCAAGAGTAGAACCAGGAACATAAAGAAGAGCTGTTCAGATTCTTTGGGACAAAAGACAACTACCCTAGCACAAAGACCGAATGAACGAAAAAGTGAAGCACATTCAGTAGTCCCAATCCAGTGACTGGTACCATAGATTTTGCAGTTAAAGTGCTTGGCACCAGGAGGATCAAATCCCCTTTCCCAAGCAATCTCAAGCCAACGTTGAAGGAAAGCGATATCAGGAACAAAACCTGGCCCACCAAACAGGACTTCTCTAGCTTCCTGTCTATGAGCGAGCAAATGAGAACTTAGCATTTGAATGTTACGCCAGCCACAACCCCAACCAACATCTATGGATGGAACACTATGGAAATAATCATCGTAGCCAGACAAAATGGTTACTGATGAGTTGTGCGGGGCCTCTAGTTCTAAACAATTTCTCAGCAAGGAAATCAAACCATCTTTAACATGGTAATAATTTCCCCTTGTTTGTAAACCAATCAAGGAGGAAATGCTATCCACGTTATTGGAGCCTGAAGAAGAAGCGAATTGAATCTGATTAGCCAATTCCAGGTCTTTAGCTTCCTTATCTTCATCCTCGAAGTGACTGTTAGCGTGCCTAAATCAAATATTTACTATTATTACTCTGATCCTAAACCAGAGTTCGAATTAGAAAAGAAAACTGAGAGCGGAGAAAAGGTCGTACCATTGGAGTTCTGAGGAGGGAAGGGAAAGGTGACAAAAGGGACAAATGGAAGATTCCATAGAAAACGCTTCGCCACTTCTTCAATTAGGAAGAGCTTAAAAGATTAATCTTTTCTTATAACTTCTGTTCTAATCGCAATCTCTTTGAAACACAGAATCTGGCGGTTATCGAAAATTTTCCGACGAATAATAGAAATAGAATGAAAAACAAATAAAGTCGGTACCGGAGCCTATGATGAAAGAAAGAAGCGGTGAATGGAGACGCTAACCTCAAAAGGCAGGAGCGGCGGCGGCGGAAGCGGACATCAGAGAGACGCCGACGATCATTGTATAGTTAAATTTATAAACATATCACTTTATTTCAGGTAACAAGCATGTCACTCAATTAAAATATTATTACAAAAACGTCATTTAATTAAAATATTATTACAAACAAGTCACTCAATTCAAATATTGTTACAAACATATCATTGTATAGTTAAATTTATAGTGACTTGGTATAATGTCATAATAATTTTAGTCCTTAAAACTTATATAATTTATCAATTTTGTCCTAATCCAAATATCTTTAAAAATCATCTCTTCCCTTATAAACTTTAATTTACGTACCAATTTGGTTCCTACATAAAATTGTTAACTTTTCTAATAAACTATGTTGGTTAGTCGTTGCTCATCAATAATCATCGTTCACGTCAAGATTGATACCAAAATATCCACATGTCACTCCTCTTTCTTCATTTTGGATTGGTTTTCCATGAAAACCACTCGATATCAACAAAAAATCATCTAAAGGTTCGACATTTTAATGTTCTGATCTTCTACAATATTTATTCAATGAAACTAGTTTCGAGATATGATATATGTCTACTCAAAAAGAACATTTCTCACTATTCAACTTTTCGTAATTTAACATTTAAAGTAAGTTTATTTAATTTTCTACAATATAGCGTTAGGGTTAAATCTTTAGACATTCAACATAAAACGTTGAACTTAAAAACTTCATATGCTTTTTTTAAGCTCACTTGTATCATTATGTGCGACTCTTTTGTCCCAATTTTGTAAGTTATATTTGATTCTTTTTTTATTTTGTATATACCCTTAACTTATTTAATTTTACAATTATGAACTCTTAAAGGGAAATAATTTAGATCTTTATTTTAAAGTTTGACTCGGACTGTAATTTTCGTAATTAAGGCGACCCATTATTGTGTTGGTACTAATTTCAAGTGTTGTTGGATACTCATACGTCCTCACACGTAATCGATTCTCGAACCTGTCTAAAAAAATCTTTGATAAGACATTGATTCAGTAAAAAGGTAAATTTAAGCATTCGCCTTACCTCACCAAAAAAAAATGCCAACTCCGAAAAGGATAAAATAATTTACTTTGAGTTGAGTTTCGATCCCCGAACTTTCGAAGGACCTTTTTTATTTCAAGGGGATAGCATATGCCTAAGTTCATAGGTAATTCTAAGGATCACGATGACCATCGATTACATCAAAGGTGTACAAACGGTTAATTCGATCACCAAGTGAACTAAATTAATCAAAAAAATTAATCGTTAATTGAAACTTTTTTAAAAATTATTAATCAAATCGAACAAAGTTCAATTAATTCGACCGGTTTTCGAATTAACTGAAATTTGTTATATTTAGTTGGATTAATTTGACAATGAATGCACAATCACCCAGCTGCAGTCGTTGGTGCTCGAACCCGTGACCTCTAAAAGCAACAACGATTCCTTTAACCACTGAGGTAAGTTGATCTATGCTTCAATTAATTCGGTTAATTAACTAATTTTGAGTCGAATTAACTGATAATTTATCTTTGAAAATTTTCTTAATGATTAACTAATCTGACATCTAATTAGATCAATTAACCGAATTGAATTTCAGTCTGATCAATTAATTTGATTAAAATCTAACAATGGACATGTCTCATTGACCACACACTCATTGATGTACAACAATGTCATGGATTGCTTCAACGAACAACTGATTTCCCCTTCGTCTTGCTACTTGAAGCCTATGATCGAAATATAGCTCAACTAATCAAGATCAAATTCTTGAAATTATGAACAATGCTCAGTTATACGTCCAAAATCAACATCAAATCTCTTGAATTAATCATCAATTATTTTTTACTTATAAATAAAAAAATTAAATTATCAAAAGACATTAGGGTCTGTTTGTTTGGCGGAAAACCAATTACGGAATTGGTTTTCCCTGAAATCTTATGTTTGTTTCATGTAATTCGTTTTCCAGAAAGTGTTTTCCAGTGTTTGTTGGAGGAAAACTGGTTGGTCAACGTAAAACATTTTTCCTGGTCAACAGAATTTTTTTTCTGTTTTCTAGAAAATGACTTACGGTTTAATTTTCCGTAAGTCATTTTCCGAACTTTTCACTTCAAAGAATAAATATTCAAAATAATTTTATTCTATGAATTTAATATTAATAAAATATTTTAATATCATTTTAATCAAAATATTAATTATTAAAATATTTAAATATATTTATTAATATTTCTAATAATATAATATATATTTTTAATAATAATAAATAATCAAATATTATAATAATATAATTATATATTTATTATAATAATATATAATAATATTAATAAAATTTATATTATTTATTAATTTCATAGAAATAATATTATTAAATTATGAATAATGAATAATATTACTTATATATTTAATATATAATAATCTAAAAATATTTAATAAAGATATTTATACTAATTAATATTTTAAAATATAATATAACACTATTACTTTAAAAATAATATAATATTATTTCAATAAATAATATCAATATTAAATTTTTATTAATAAAATTATAAAAAAATATTTAATAATAAATAATTTATTTAATATTTTAAAAATGATATTAAGTTTTATGATAAATAATATTATTATTATATTTAATATTTGTAATAAATAATTTAATTTTAAAAATTTTAAAAATGATTATATTAGTTTTATGATAAATATTATTTAAACATTATAGTTCGTAAAACGTTTTAATAAATATTTGAAAAGAACTAATTCAATTTTAGTGAAAAAATGTTTGGAAACATTTTTCGGAAAACGTTTTCCAGAAAATGTAATTCGTTTTCCAGAAAATGTAATTCGGAGTGACATTAACAAACTTTTAAACAGTTAACCGATTTTGAAATTACCAAGGATAGTTACATAAAAGATGAGAGACTTTATCTTAACTAATTCTTTTTTTGTCGAGTGGCGTTTCTTGATGATAATATTTAGTTTGTGGCGACTTTAAACGGTTCACGACTTCTAATTTTGACAGAGATTCACGGTTGACCAATGTTCAAATCCTTTGTTTCCAAGAAGAGGGAATGAGAAGATGGTGAAGTGGAGAAAATGATTCCATACCTTTCTCTCAATCTTGGTTGGGACGTTTTATAGTAACATTTAATTTTTGTGTTAAGCCTAGGATCGTGATGGTTATCATTAGACTAGCAAGATGAATAGATTCAATTGTCATAAAATGATGTGAGTCTATTAATAATCACATCATAGAGCCATGGTTAATCGGAGGATATAGAACTATAGAGGACTTCGAGAATCGTAGATAACCTGCGAAGGAAAAAAAATGGATGTCCCTTTTTCCCATATGTATGGGGTAAGAGAGAGGTAAGATAGTAGGCTACCCCCAATACCAGGTTGAGAGTAGCTTCCGTAAGAGACCTCCGAATTATGAAATGCCCTCCGTGGGACTCGATCCCACAACCTCAAGGTTAAGAACCTTGTGCTCTACTAACTGAGCTGGATGGTCATTAATCATTAAAACATTATCACTTAATTTTGAATCTAGTTATTGTTGAGAGTGCTTCAAGAAGATAAGGGCATTGTATCCCGTATTGGAAGGGAACATTCTTTGGGAAGGGTATATATAAGCGAACTTAACTTTTTCGAACAAATTGATTAGATAATATTATTATAAATTATGAAATATTATCCATAATGCTACTATTAATTATAAATTAATTGAATACTATTTTATAATTTATAGTAATATTATCTAATTCATTTATTCGTGAAAGAAATTATTTTATAATTAATTGGATAATATTAAACCCTAAACACATTTTCTACTTGTTCTGTTCTTTTGTTTTATGAGAAAACATTTATTTTGTTCGAGAAGAGAACAATAATTTCACCGTTGTTCACTCTAATCTTTGAGTGTACATATAAGCGAACTTAACTTTTCGAACAAATTGATTAGATAATATTATTATAATTATGAAATATATCCATAATGTTACTATTAATTATAAATTAATTGAATACTATTTTATAATTATAGTAATATTATCTAATTCATTTATTCGTGAAGAAATTATTTTATAATTAATGGATAATATTAAACCCTAAACACATTTCTACTTGTTCTGTTCTTTTGTTTTATGAGAAAACATTTATTTTGTTCGAGAAGAGAACAATAATTTCACGGTTGTTCACTCTAATCTTTGATTGTACGATTATTCGACGCTATCGTGTTAATTTTGGGGACGAACGCATATTACTTCAATTACTCTTATCGAGGCGAAATCGTTTCTAAGACATTGATTTTATATCACGACAGAGTTATTTTTTTAATGATTATTTTTATCATTATTATCCGATCAGTGCTAATCGTTTCTAAGCCTGTATTGCACGCTTTCATCTGTTTTTATTGTACGTTTTTTATGTTTTTTAATGTTTTTTTACATGTTTTTTTTCCTTTGGCCGTTTTTATTTATTTATTTTCTAAGATTTAATTTGACATCGCCACGACTAATCAAGATGGTGTTTATCTGATATCTTGTGATCTTCCCTGCTTTTTTTCTTAATTATGTGTTTAATTTACGATTGTGATTATAAATTTTTATTGTAATATAAAATATTTCCTATTTTAAATAAAATTAGTTTATTCTATCAAAAAGTAATTTTTGAGATATATACTTTTTTTTTGCATGAAAAATAATTTTTATTACAACATAGATATTAAATCTCATTGAATAAAATTTTAGGATTGATATTTAACTAAATAATTTTAATTATTTTATTTGATTAAGGAGTAACGACAATAACCTTGGTTAAATAAAGGTATAATGTCAAAAGAAGTCTTTAATATTTGATTAGATAATTATTTTTATATTTATTTTTTTCGGAGTATTTTGACCCTCGATATTCTACTTTAGATTAAAAATATTTATAATATTTGATTAAATAGTCACTTTGACCATATTTTTAGAGCAATTTGGTTCCTAATGTTTTACCGTAAAGTATTTTGATCCTAAATATTTAATTATTACATTAATAATTATATTTTTTACTACGAGTGACCAAAATGTAACTCCATGTATATTTTTAGAAGAAAAAATAATTCGATAATCAAAACAAAACTGTAAAAATAATTAGGAGACTAAATACACAGTTTATCCTATATTTTTAGGGGGAAGTAAACAAATGGTCCACCAATTATATGGTGTTACTTTGTTGAGTCATTTAACTATTAAAAGTTACAAAATGATCTCATGATTATAGGATATTGCTATGTTGAGTCTATTACTATTAAAAGTTACAAAATGATCACTCGACTATTCATATGTTACAAACTCAACATTTTTTATTAAAAAATGACTACAGTCTAATTTGAACATTAACCTATTACTTAAGATATGATAGTCGTTTGCGATTTTGAGATTATATTTTATTATATGTAGTCAGGAGTTTAACATCCAACTTAAAATATTATCAATTTTTTTTTAAAAAAAAGACAAGTTTAGAATATATAAATAGTCATATGATAATTTATAACTTTTAATAGTCGAAGATTTCAACTCAACAACATTCTATAATTAAGGGGTCATTTTATAACTTTTAATAATCAAAGAATTCAACAAACTATCATCCTATAACCAAAGATCATTTATGTACTTTACCCTTTCTTTTGCCTCTCAAAATGATACGAGTGATAGGAGATGGGAATATTCTAATATAACAAATGAAGAGAGAGAAAGAGAGAATACTAAAAAAAAAGAGAAAAGACTTGAAATTGAAAATTGACGGTGAAAAATTGAATTTGCGAAGCAAATACGTAAGCAAATGTAATAATAATCAGAAAACAGAAGAAAACAAGCAAAGCCAGATACATTGAACCTGGACATTTTTGGTAGAAAGTGTCGTCGGCCTATAAAACAATCTACTTCTCATCGGTTAATCCAGACGTGCGGTTCCCCATATTCATATTCTTCACCAATCAAATTAGATTTCCAAAAATACCACAAAATCTAAAGCAAATGGCTCCAACAATGGCGGTTACAGACAAGAGAAAGGAGGAGGAGGAAGAGTTGAGGAAGAGGAACGAGGAGCTAGAGAAGGAATTGAGGGAGAGCAGGGAGAGGGAGGAGGAGATGAAGAAGGAGCTGCGGAAGATGTGGGAGAGGCTGAGGGTGGCGGAAGAGGCGGAGGAGCGGCTGTGTTCGCAGCTGGGGGAGCTGGAAGCGGAATCGGTGAATCAGGCGCGTGATTACAACGCGCATATATTTTCCCTCATGGATCAGCTCTCCAAGGCCAACAACGTCTTCGTCAACAACCACCGCCGCTCCTCCGCGCCCATCTCCATCCTCTGATTTTGAATTTTTATGGAAATTTGAGTAATGGATCCGGCTTTTGTTATGGTTTTTTTATAATGTGTAAGCAAATGGCGCGGCGCGTGTGAATCCCTAAACTTTATTCCCTCGATTTTTGCGTATGCATCCGTACATAATATATGGTTTTCTGGGTGTTGCCCGGCGTCGAGAGTGTTATTTTACGGGTAGACGTTATTTTTGGTAAAATCGTACATAATATACGGTTAAAAAAAACGTTATAGTAAATGTTATTTTTTTAATAATTATAGTAAAAATTACTTAAAATATTTTTTTTATTAAAAATATTAATTTTACTAATTAATTTCCAGTAGAACTTAATATTAACATTTCTAGTAGAAAAAAATTAATGTTTTAAGTAGTATTTTACCGAAAATATTAAATATTTTAAGTAGCGTCCAATATTAATATTTTTGGTAAAAAAATAATATTTTAGATAATGTTTTACTATAAATGTTAAAAAATACATTTCCTATAGGTTTTTCTTAATTGTATATTAAGATTATCGTACCTGATACATCCATGTTATTTTACTCTTCCCTCCTTAAGAGATTTAACACTATTTCTTATTCCTTTGATTGCTTAGGATCGGAATGAATCAAATTCGACTCGGGAAAAAAATGAACATTCAAAATAAACTCGATTTTGATTTATCTTATCTCAAAATTCGATTTGATCTAAATTTAATTCATTTTAATTTAATGCTATAATTTTAGATCGGATCGAAATCTGTTGTTTTTTTAATTTTTTCATTCAAAATAAACTTAAAGTTATATCATATACTATGTTGGAGTGAACACAAGATACGTACTTATGTAAATTTTGAACATTGTTGATCATATTAATAATACATTAAATACAATTTATTTATAAAATTTAAATGGTATTTCGAAACAAATTTTATTAATTTTCATTTAAATTTTTTTTTTATTTAATATTAAATATTTAAATTATTAAAAATGTGTACAATAAATCTTTTTTAACGAGATTAATTCAGGTGATAATCAACTTAATATCACTCGCGTAAATCTCAAGTTTAAATCATATTAATCCACGTTGGTCATTTGTGGTCAGTGATGTCTCATCACTCCTTCGTTATCTGTACTTAGCTGTTAAAACGTATTTCTTTATGGTACATTTGGTTAACGGAATATATAATTATATGTGAGAATAAAATATTATTAAAGAATATGATTATTGAAAATGTTATATTTTATGTTTGGTTGATTTAGTAAGAATGTAATATTACCGTGTTTGGTTAAAAGAATAAAAGATTATTGAAATATATATTTTACCAAAAATTTCTTATTATATATTTATTTTTTTTAATAAGTTGAATTCTACTGTAATATTATTATAATTAATTTATATATTTTATTTAAAATTTTATATAATTTTTTTATAAAATTAAAAAGATAAATAGGTTTAATGAAAAGGTAAAATTTTATTTTAACCCCTGAACTTCATATAAAATTCTAATTATGGATTTTTTTGTAATCTAAATAGTTTAAGGATAAATTTATAATTTAACTTTCGTAGAATTTTTATTATTCAACAACAAAAGAAGGATAATTTTGAAAAAAAATTAAGGGCATTTTAGTACAAAATACCGGTAAAAAAATTAAGGGCATTTTAGTCCAAAACGTCGGTAATCTAACAATACCTAAAGGAAGAGGTAATCACATTCCCGGTAATATACCCAAAAAATTCACTGTTGGTAATAAAAGATTATCGGAAATAAGATTAACGGCCAACCAAACGTGTGAATGAGGATTTCATTCCTCCGGTAATCGTTTATGCCAACCAAATAACCCCTTAGTGGGTTCTTTTTATACCTGTAAAAGATTTCCTCTGCTCCCCTTTCTTTTCTTTTCTTTACATGTATTGTCAATTAAAAAAATTATCAATACAAGCAACGTTAAATAAATAGTTGCTATTCTTAAGTTTAAAATTCGGGTATCAATGGTTGTATCTTGTATAGATATTTAAGCGTTTATTGTCAAATGATAAAGAGTTTTTAGAATAAATTCTATCAGTTTTCAGTGATTAAAGAAATAATTGTTATTCTTAGATTTAGGATTCTAGCACCTGTAACTGCAGCCTATAAAGATATTTGAACGTTCATTGTCAAACGGTGAATGGTCTTTAGAATATATTCTATCACTTTTGTAGACACTCGTTTTTGTCCGGGTCGCAAAAAATATTATTATTATTAATTATTATTATTATTATTATTTTATTTACATATATTACATTGTTTTGCATGTCAGTACAATGAGCCCACCCAGGCCCAAATTACATTAATAGGCCCAATTGGGCCAAACAACATACTTGAAAACGATGACGATTAGACGGCGGACGACGACGAATCAGAGATAGGAAAACCGAACGGTTTTCGATCATTTTGTGAAGTTCGATGCACCCCCAGCGAAACGGAGCCCAAATTGGCATGGCGAAGGTAACCATCGACAACCGGTCGATTTTCTAGAGAGAGAGTCCCTCTCTCTAGAAAAACTATTTAAATTGAAAAAGTCAAAAAAAGAAAAAAAAGAAATATGGTTGATATTATAGAAAACTTAAGGGGGAAATTTCACTTAAGTCCCCCTAAGTTAGGTGTGTTTTGCAAAATGGTCACCTGAAGGGACTGTTTTTGTAATTTACCCATTTCTTATGCATGTTATATATTTTTGGTTTAATTTCTGTTTGGTCCCTAGACCTTTAGCATGTTTCTGCATTTAGTTCACCATTTAGTGGGTAAATCTCCCTTAGGTCCCTTATATCTTGATGTGTTTTACATCTTAATCTCAGTGTCCTACGTTTTTGTTTATTTTTATTTTTAGCACTTTAGTTTTATTACTTTCAATTTAGTCACTTATGCCATATCTCTTATTTATTTATTTCTGATTTTGACACTTTATTTTCTGTTATTTTATTTTAGTCACTGATGGTATATTTATATTTTGTGCCTGTAATTTTTATTATTCAAGTTTCAATCTTATTTATTTACCCCCTTTACTTGTATGGTATTTTTAATCTAGATGGTTGGTTTAAAAAGCTTGCATGTTGGTCCCTTATTTATTTGCACATTGGTATTATTGCTTTGACCTTTTTTATATTTCATTTTGTTTTCTAAAATATGTAAATGAGAAAATTTCATTGTGAGAGAAATCTAGGGAGACATCTCCCAACTACAAGGGAATGTGCATTTTTCGAGGATTTTTCGCATAAATATTTTTATTCGATAATTTTCTTTGTTTCAAGTTTGTTTATTTTGATTATTTTTCACCTCTTTTCATTTTATTTATCTTTTAACGTCGTTTGTGAGAGGAATCTATGAAAAAATCTCTTAACTATAAAGGAAGTGCATTTCCAAGGATTGTTCGTATAAAATGACACATTTCACTTATAAGAATAATTATAATATTTTTTATTATATAAAAATATCTTTTGGGCTATTTAATCTTTTAGCCCATTGTATCTCTTATTTTAAGTTTTTTTTTTAAATTGACATTTATTTAAATAAATTTGAATAATGGAAGGATCATAATTTAAATATATTTTCGAAGTTTGTGATTCTCAATATTTAAACAACATATAATCGTTTAGGTACCTAAATTTGGGAGTTGTGGGGGTGCTCACTCTTTCCCACACGTAATCGACTTCCGAACTCTTATAATCTTTGGTAAAGCGCAGACCATTTTTTGTCTTTTAAGGTTTTCAACCTATCTAACTTATAGGTTGGTGGCGACTTAAAAGTCAAATTGTTTTCAAAAATTGAATTTCATCATCTTCCCCTAATTAATTTTTCAAGTCTAACGGATCCCCAGGGAAACGTTATGACAACTTTGTTATCACTTAAATTTAAAAAAATCAAATATTTAATTTACATTTTCATTTTATTAATAATATTTGTTTTCATCATTAATATCATTTATAATATATATACCTTTTTTTTTATAAAACACCCTCTCTAAGTTTCTTTTTTTCATCGAGTTTATGAAAAAATAATAGAATTTTTTTCTGTCGAAAATAACATCAAACAACAAGAAAAATAATCCACGATTTCAAGCTTGATGATATCAACAATAAAAGAATAACCTCGAATCCAAAAATCGTTTTAGAGTGGACATACATATAACACGAGCACATGTTCATTGTTATTGAAGAAGATCAAGGAAGTTGAAAAAGCGGTTAAATAAATGTTGGATAAAAACAACTAATTTTATTTAAAATAAAAAAAATCATAAATTACAACAAAGATTTACAATTATAATCGTAAATTAAACACATAATTAGGAAAATTTTCTATAATCATTGAAACAAAAGTAGTAACTTAAGATCACATGAGGACCATACAAGGAAATATTAAAAATCTAACCAAGAAATTGAACAAAGGTATATACAAATAGATCTGATTGCTTCGGCAAACAAACCACAAAAAGGAATCAAGATATTGAAAGACCACTGACAAACTGTAAATTAGACTCGAGCAAAGTGAAAAGCTATCCATGCACGCAAATCGGGTATCTAAATCCAATCTGAGTCCAAAGCAGGGAAGATCAACAAGATGTCAGCTAAGTGTCATCTTGATCAGTCGTGAAGATGTCAAATCAACTTTTAGAAGAAAAAAAAGATATAAGAAAAACGACCAAAAACCAAAAAATATGCTAAAAAGCATAAGAAAATGTACCATAAAGTAGACAAAAACGTGTCAGACAAGCAAACTTATTGAAAGTAAAAAACAAAAGAAAATATAAATATGATATAGAAAAGAAAAAGACAATATAAAATACCGACGCTCGGCAACCAACATTAAAGTTGGTGTAGTCGTCGATCAACAAAGACGAAAAAGAAAAGAGATGAGCGGCACACCAATTAAAAAAACTAGATTTTTTCTTCTTATATTTTCATCGATATTTATTGTATCAAAATATAACTTTAATAATAATAATATATTATATATTTTTAATAGAATTTTCTCTATTTTGTTAGGCACCTACACCAAAAAGGTAACACTCATTCAAAATGAAAAGCATGCAAACTCTAATAATAAAATGTTAAACTCTTGTGAATTGCATCTCTTTCCTTTATTAGTTTATAATGGATAAAAAATAAAAGATAAATTAGCTAAACACAAATTGTCCCTTGATGATATGTCGTTATTTTATCGAATCTTCCAAATATTAAAAGTTATAGAAAAGTTTTTTTATTATAAGAAGTTGTTTTGTTGAGTCCCTTAACAATTAAAAGTTACAAAATGATCACCCGATTACCTATATCCAAACTCGTCATTTTTTGTTAAAAAATCGGTGGTCGTCTGAGTTGGACGTTAATATGTTGACTGATATATGTTAAATTTGATCCTATAATTGTCTGATTTGTATTTTATAGATCAACTATCCGTTTATACCATCGAACCAATATTTGAAATATCGTGTCGTCGAGCTAGTGTTTGAAAGAAACGATAATACCAATAGACATAATGAAAATATGATTTTACCATATTCAATCAGTAGGTTAAAATCTAGCTCCAACGATCGGTAATTTTTTTAATAGAAAACGACAAGAACATATGAGTAGTCATGTATTATTTTATAATTTTAATAATCGAAAGACTCAATCAAACAATATTATATAATCAAAAAAACTAATTTATAACATTTAATAATCAAGGGACTAAATAAAACAACACCTGTGCACACCCAAAATTAAAACACTAAGCAAGCCCAATGTCATTGCTCAATTGTAAATAAAGCCCTAACCAATCCCCGCCTGATTGCTTTAACTCTCATCTCAAACTCACCGAGTTGCTGACTCACCTTCCCTGGTTCCTTTTTGCCTTTGCTACCCGATGCATGCACATTTCTAGCCTTCAGGCTTTTAGGGTTTCCCTGTTAACATTTTCTTTTGGTGTCTTTGGATCTTGTTTCGTGTTTTCGCAGCTCATAAGTGCAGCTCAAATCATAAATTTGTATTATCTGATACCAGGGAAGATTTAATTGGTGCGGAATGAACAGCTCCAGGGAAGATTCTCCAGATTGGCTGCGCTCTTTTCAGGTATGTTTATCCTGCTTTGTTTAGCTTCTACAATCCTTTCATTTGGGAGCTATCCAGTTAATTATATAGTTAGAATGATCAAAATTCAACTCGAACTCAAAATTTTGAGTGGTAAACAATATAGTTAAGACGATCAAAACTCGATTTTACTGGAAAAACTAATTTTTTCGATTCCACTTAACTCTATTTTTTTTAATTTGAGTTGAGTTATAAAATATAACTTGAATAACTCAAAATTGTTATTCAAAGTTTTTAGTAATTAGTAGATTAATTTTCAAGTTTAAGCCGATTAACTTGACTCATGATATACCGTTTAAACTTGAAATCAAATAATACCTTAATATTATCAATATTTATAGTTAAATTTAAACGGAAACGCGAACAAGACTTGAAAGAATTTTAATTTTAAATAAAATTTGAGTTATATAATAGAACCCATCTACATGAATAACTCGAAATTTTTTGACTTGACTCTACCTGTTCCAGTTAGCTTACTCTTGCACTTGCACCTTCATGTTGATTCCTTACTGACTTGCAAGAATTAACTTTGATTTCAGGCACCAACTTCTAATTTGACATTATCTTCGGATTCGGATTCTTTGCCAAATGGTAATACATGCTATGAATGTTAAGAACCGACGCCAGGGCTGTCTCCAAGTGACTGAAATGATGCTTAAATGAATTGTGAAAGATATATAATATATTAGCTTCTGATTTTCCAAGTGACTTTGTTATTTACTACTTGTATATGAACTTTTATCAATGATACAGGGAATGAGGAGGATGGAAAGGTTTGTATGGAAGAAATGTCCAAGAAAGGCTCGTTGTCTCAAGTAAGATTTCACACTGCCTTTTCTGGCTTCTCTTTTATTATAGCATGTCATGCGATATCAAAAATATCGTCGAACTTAAAAAAATTGATTTTAGATCCCGTTTTAGAATTTTTGAAAATGAAGGCATTTTTGCTTTGGGAAAGAATCATTTTATGATAAAACAAAGCCATTGTCGTTCATTTGACGAATGATAACGCTTTATAATGTAAATCATAAGTTTAAACATGTTCCATAATAAGATGACCAACCTGGTATTACTCTGATTAGATTGGGGGGCTACTGTTAATATTGGTGCTGATGGAAGTTGTTGGATGTTGAACAGACAGCAAATGAGTCAATTTGGACTTTATCGTCAGATTCTGACACTTCTCTTAAAAGGAAGGAGAAAGGGTCTTTATCTCAAGAAAGTGGTGAGACCAGTGATCTAGTTCTGACTGGAAGAGCCGAAAAGTCTCCACGAAAGAAGACTTCTAAAGGAATATCTCCAAAAAAGAGGGTAAAAACTGGGGGTCAGACTCCCAAAAAAGAGAAGAATGTGAAAGATGATTCAAAGGTAACAGGTATGATACTGGATTTGTACTGTAAAATTTGCTTTTAAATTCTGTTGGGTTTGGCTAGCTTAAAATATTCATATGGATGATGCAAAGGCCATTTATGTGATAAAGCTACCAAAGTTGCTTCACATGCAATGTCTGATTCTGTTACAGAAAATGATGGTAATGTGAAAACTGCCAAGGAGGCGGCATTAGAAAAACACATTGAACCTCATGTAAGAATGTTAGTAGCAAATGTGATGTTTTCTTTTTTTCATCTGAGCCTCTGGTTCACTGAATTATGTAAAATTTATAATATGTAGGTTTCCACCTCGAGGCTGCCTTTGGTGCTGTCTGAGAAAGTTCAACGCTCAAAGGTAAGATACAGTTTGTCATAGTTATGGCTTACATACAATTAACTTCCCTAGGCAATCATCGGTAAGTTTCAAGAAGGATTATATTGGCGGTGCCTTGGAGTATAATCAGAAATAATCTAAAATGAATAATTTAGTTACTTTCTTGGTCACTAAAGATCTGCAAACAACCTAGGAGAACCTAGAAACCAATCTTAACTAGTATATTTGGTCTCTCTAGTTGCGGACTTCTAAGGACTTAGCTTCATGCTTTTTTATTTTAATTCAAAATCTAAAACTCTCTAGTTTGGTTTGACTTTTTATTTGTCTGCAAAGTGGAAGCCTCAAATAAACAAAACATATTTTGCTTTACAGAGATCTTAAATATTATAGAACTAATAATATAGTTTGGCCTTGTGATCATGTCTTCAGTGAAAAGGAACCAGTGATTAACAAGAAGTTTTGTGGTTTGTGCAGGCACTTGTCGAGTGCGAAGGGGATTCCATTGATTTGAGTGGCGATATGGGGGCTGTTGGTCGAATTATAGTTTCTGGTTCTGCATCTGAAAATCATGAGGTGTTCTTAGACTTAAAAGGCATGTCTTGTTTAACTGCTCTTCTTAGGTTCGGATGATATTATCTGCTTATTTTATGTTTGAACTTATAAATTATCATCTCTAAATGGCTGGAGCCTGGCGAGTTACTGACACTGCGAGGGTAAAAAATTACATACTAACATAGACATATTCCTATATACTTGAACTTGTTCTGCACTCAGATTCATCAAGTTACTGAATTTTCTGTTAAGTTCCATCTGTTTGTACTTTTTCTAATTAAATCTTGGCCTTACTCTCATTCTAACTTGATGACATTATCTTTCTTAATCTCTCATGACTGGTTTTGAATGACATTTTCTCAGGAACCATATACAAAACAACAATAGTGCCTTCCAGAACATTTTGCATCGTGCGTAAATTCTGTCTTGCATTCTCTCTGGACATTTGTGATTGTATTGATGTTGACGCAGATTTTTTGTTCTACAGGTTAGCTTCGGTCAGACCGAGGCCAAGGTTTGTCGTAGAACTTAACTTTGGTATTGGTTTGATCCGTCGGAGGCTTGTTATTTTCCTGAATGTTGCTTCTAAGTTTCTTTATTGAGCCTCTGAATTGTATGTTATGTTCTCAGATAGAGGCGATCATGAATGACTTCATTCAGCTGAAGCCACAATCCAATGTTTATGAAGCAGAAACAATGGTGGAAGGTTCTGTATGTATATATATGTATATTTATATTGTATTTTAGCTATATGAAGCAGAAACAATGGTTGCTTTAATATAGCATTAGATCATGGTTCATATTTTGACATAATTTCATGATGCATTTACTCATTTCCTGATATTCGATCGATCCCGAATTAATAGGTACACTAGAGGGCTTCTCATTTGATTCTGAAGATGAAGCTGAGAAGATGCCGAAGGCAATTCCTCATCTAACCGATCAAAACGAGGAGATTGATGGGCAAAGGAATGGGAAATACAAGGGAAGAGATGAGAAAACATCTGTATGCATTCAAACCACCTTAACTAACGTGCATCTTTGTTTAATGCCATATTGCCATCATCATCATCTCTATGATGCTTATATAAAAAAGGGATGTGTCGGTGTAGATGGTGTCTCGGAAGAGAGGTAAACCAGTCGGAGGGAAGTCACAACCAGCCAAGAAAACAAGAAAGAAGACTGGCATTTCAAAGAAACCAAAGGCCAAAAAATGACGAGATAAACCGATGCTCAAAATGCTCTTGTAATTGCTGCCATTGGTAATATTGTATTCCTTTAGTTTTTTTGCTACAGTCGGCACTAATTAGTGCAGAAATGCCCTTGCACCTTTTGTTTTGCGCGCTTTTGTTATTTAGGGTAAATTACGTATTTAGTATCCAAACTATCAGTTTTAATTTGTTTGAGTATTAAACTTTCAATTTGTTAAAAAACAATTAGCATTTTTCCTAATTATAAATACCCAAGGAACATAGAGATGAAATTCATTATAATTAAACCATATTTGTCCAATGAAATAATTCCCAACATAAAGATAAGTTTTTTTTATTGTTTTGAAAGTAGTATCTATTCGAAAGTAAGACTCTTAACTATTTGACATTAAACGCTTCCAATACTCTTACAAATAATGTTCTCAGGCTCAAGATCTCTAGAGATTCCATCTCTTTAACCATTGAGATAATTGGTTCGTGCCACCCTAAATATAACAAATGAAACAAGATAAAAGGAGGCCTTAAGGTTAATAACAAGATTATAAATAATATATAATCTAGCTCATATCCATGCTGCCATCTCCAACTTGGCCGCAGCAGAAGGAATCTGCGCGTCTCGCCGACGCTTAAAACCACAGCTATCGGAAGGCGGCGAATTGTCAGCATCAAGCTTCCTCCCAATGCCTCTGATCACCTGTTCCTTGGCCTGAGAAAGAGGAAACAACTGGCCGCTTGCTCGACAAAGCGAGCTATGATTATCGTACAGAATTCTCTTGTTACAGTACATGTAACAGATGTGTGTGATTCCCGTCAGTTTGCATCGATAAAAGTTGCCACATACATGTTCGTTTTGGCATTTCCAGTCGCATTTTTGGACAGCGGAGGGACCATCCCGGCCCAGAATGGTAGATAAATAAATAACATTTGCAGGTGCAGCAGTAGCCATGGCTTTTATACGATGAAATTCTAAAAAGCTGTACACTTTTAACAGTGATGAACCGAGAAAATGAAACCCAGAAAAAGAAAGGAAGAACGCAGGCACTTTAAGTCTATGAACGAATAAAGGGAAGAAGAAGACGAGGGAAAATGAGTATATATAGAAGAAGGTAAAGAGGAAAGTGGGTTAAAATAGGGAGCCCGAGAGAGGGGAGAGGAGCGGGGTTGAGCAAAGCATTTTGGGAAACAAAGAACATCCGACTGAGTTGGGAGTTGTGGTGTGAAATAGAAAGATATAATATCAAAATAAGCCCCTAATTGTTATCAAACTATCATTTTGACTATTACTCTTTTGTTTTAATACTTTGGTCCCAAAGTTTCATTTTGAGACAAACATGTTTTTTTATGGATGAGAATCATTAGTTATTAAATGGTTAGCGCTTCAAAATAGGAATTTTTTTATCCTACATATTAGGAGGTCAAAATGTTTCATTATAAAAGAATAAAAATTAAAATAATTATTTAGTTAAACATTACGGATCTTTTTGTTTTAAAATAAGATTTTAAGGGTCAATATGTTATAAAAAGAATAAAAGTTAAAAGGATCATCTTATAAATATTGAGAGTTAATTTTAGTAATCATGTCAAATAAAATCGCCAGACTAATTTACATGTAGTTTCGCACTTTACCAAAGGCCAATAAAAAAAAAGCTCTCAACTTTTTCCAGGTGAGTGTCACGTTTAAATTTATCTTTCTTTCTTTCTCTGTCTATTTCTCAGTTTTCTACTCAATTATAGCCACATCTCTAACATTTTTTTATTTCATTATTTTATCGTATTCTCTAAAATTTTAAGGATCATGATTGAAGTGTTTTATGGTGACCCTTAATTTCAATCTCAGACTTAGATCATGATTGCTACTTGTAGATTGACAAGTTAAATAAATATAACCATTTGACTATATATTTAATTTTGATATATCACATGAGTCTGCTAGAGATCTTGTCAAGAGAAGGTAAAGTGTCTAATCAAAAGGTAAGGAACTCTGAAGTTCATGAGTCTACAAAGGTGATCTTTTTAAGAGTCTCATCTTATTCTAGAGGCTTTGATCATCAGAGGGACCGTTTGAGGAGGTAATCTGTATGAGATATAACCATTTTAATATTTTTTATGATATATTAATTGTAATTCTATGAGAATTGCAATGTCCTAATCTAGTACGACCCGAATATCGATGGACTAAGGCGTCACATGGACCACTGGAGTAGCTGACCCAAAATTTTTCTCTTTTAAAACGACATAACATTCAATTAAAAATTCACCCATAATAGTAATAGGAAAATAAATACAAAATGTTTGATTTTCAAATACGGGAGCCCCAAAATCAGTTAAATCAAAGTTTACAATATTCCCAAAATATAAATCATCTCGACTCGAATATACAAGGGTCCATATACATTACATGCCCACTAATAATGAATCCAAGACATACTTAAAAAGCTGACGGTGGTATGGAAGAATATCTAGGCAGTGGCCCCTCAAATGCTCCTCCTACAAACCTGCACACGAAAATAAATTTTAAACGCTAAGCTCACAAGCTCAGTGCCACACTAATAACCAAACTATAATATATGCTTCCTCTAATGCGTATGCTAGCAAACATAACTATTACCATACTGGTATGCTAAGCAAGTCATACATACCGAGGTAAGCATCATGGTGCGACTGAGGGGCTACATCTCGGAGTTCACACACCCCTCTAGCATATCTAGGGTGGGATCCATAATTCTATATCAGAAATGCACACCCGACTAATTTACTCCTTCGAGTCTTGGGGCATCTATGCCCAGTTTACAAAGAAGAACCTAGTGCACTAACTTGGGTTTGGACGGACATTCTAACATACAATCGTTCATTCTGTCTCTAGAGCACCTCAGGTATTTGATTCGTTTCCCGAGCATCATACAAGGCAAGTTTTATAATTCCCTAAGTTATAGGGTTTCTAGGTTAAAATTTACATTGTTAAGATTGTTTCCCCTAAGTAAATTATTGAAGATAAAAATGATGTGTTTGGGTCCCTCGACAATGTCTCTAGTTCCCTAAAACTTTTTGTTTATAAAAGAGCGATGGCATCGATATTGACCCTCTCAGTATCGATATTGACCCATGAGTATTGAAACTCCACTAGGGTATCGATACTTGACAACTTATTTCAACTAAGGGAAAAAAGGATAATATTGATACTCTTAAATCATTATCGATACTCCTATATTAAGGTATCAATATTGACCGGGGTATCGAGATACTAAATTTGGGTTCAATGTTCGAAAAATTATCTCGGTATCGGTACTCCTATGGGGAGTATCAATATCTACCCTTGGTATTGATACTCCCTAGAGTACCAATACCAAATTTGGACACTGGAAAATTAGTCTTGATACCAGCTTGTGGGTCTCGAAATCAAGGCCCTAGTATCGACACTCTTATAATGAGTATTGATACTCCCTTATAAAATTCCCTTGATTTTATGCCTCTCACAAGAAAAATATCATTACAATTCTTTTGGTACCAATGTTCCCATCCGAAAATGCCATGTTTGAGCACGTAAATTCCCTTTTAACCCACCCTAAAGGCTCTATTGAGGTCCCCAAACATTATTAAAGTTTTATTTGAGTTTATTGGGATCATAAAGTCATTGTATAGCTAAAAACACATAAGTCTAAGATTTGCCATGAACATGCTCATATGTTTCAAAATCTAATGCAATATAAGCCAATGCACTAGAAAGCTTACAATTGGTATATAAAGGTTATAAATGTGTTACCTTGGAGTCTTGATAGCTGAAAAACATTCCAAATCATCCAAGAGCTAACTTCTCTTTTCCTCTATCTTTGGAAACTTCTCCAACTTATTTCACTAGCATAACATGGAAATGGTGTTACTAACTTGTTTATGAGGCTATTATAAGTTTAATAACACTTCCCTAAACTCAAAGTTACTAAAAACGAGCTAAAATTCCTTAGTTTACTTAAAACCCCACTAAACCCATTTTTGGACACTAAGGCCAAAACTTGATCTTAATAGCTCAAAAGAAAGCTAAATAAATGGGGGTTCCAAATCTTACCTTATAGTTTTGAAATGAGGATTGAATACTAGTAAAGTTAGAACTTTTGGTGCTTGAGTAAGAGAGAAAAGAAGAAGCTAAGAAGAAGAAGAAAAAGAAGAAAAAGAAGAAACAAACAAAGGGGGAGTGGGTAACCAAACAATTCCAACATGATATCATCCCCATTTAAGGATTTTCAGCTTTTGAAATCTTTTCATAGTAAAATTGCTCTTTTAGTCCTCAACTTTCCGTCAGAAAATAAAATGCTTCCAAATTCATTTATTTGGGCTTAAAACAAGTCCACTATTTAATCTTAACTTGCTTTAAGTTGTTATATAAATATATTGGACCAGTTTTACGAATCTCGTGTCAACCCGAACTACTAATGTAACACCCCAACCCGTATCCGACTCGAATTTTCAATTGTGTTTGGTATAAAATTTTGAGGTAAAAATGTATTTATGAACAGTAAAATATTGTATGAACAGTACTGTATGAGCAATGATGAACATTACCTGCTACAATACCTCGAATGTTAAAATTTCCAAATTATAAATAGGAACCGATTCCCCTGCTATAGGGAACCGATTCCCCTGCTACAGGGAACCGATTCCCCTGCTACATTACTGCTACAGTACTTCTGTAAAATACATATAAATTCGTAAAAATCCAAGGTTTCATCATTATACATATACCATTTACATATATACGTTTAAAACCTTTCCAAAACTCGATCAGAGCGTATCTAATATAAATCCTTTTTATTACATGCCAACTAAATTCTTTCTAACAAAATACATATAATTCGATCTACATTTCTGATCTGATCTTCGGTAAGGAGAACTGACATGTCTTGTTCCTCTTTTCTTCTCTTTCCGCTTTCCAAACCTACGTGTGAAACAATCACATGCTAAGTCGATGACTTAGTGAGACATATAAAACATAATTATATGCTAACTGTAATTTCTACAATGCATTAACATTTGTTACTACCTTTTCATATCAAAACATATATTCTTCTCATATACATACATGCACATATCATGTAACATAACATCATTAACATGTTTATCATTTTTCATTTTATCATCATTAATTTCCTTTTTATACCATATCAACATATAATATAAAACTCTAAATCACACTCATGTATAAACGATTTCAAATCTCATATCATATAATTTATGTAACATTTCATATCATCACAAGCATATACATCACATATATTATATTTGTGGGTTATCTCTTTAATTAGCCCATGGTACATTGGTGAGAACTAAGGATATGTGAGTACATTGAGGTTGTGCACTAATGTTGTCACCACAGCTCGTATAAGTCCCACTGAGTGGCATATGAAATTTGTCCCGAAAGACCACTGTATTGTCCCGAAGGACCATTGTATTGTCCTGAAGGACCTATGAAACCCTCGACTCTTGGCATGCCAACTATACCTATAGCTCTCGTATCATATAACATGGGCATTATTCTTATGTTTCATATGTTCATGTACTCATGTCATTTCTCTTGTGATCATATATACGTTTCTTCTGTCACATATCACATGTATGTGTAAACATCTGTATGTTTTCATATAACATGTATATCATAGGTTTATATCATGTAACATATATCATTTCTCATGGATTCATGTAAACATGTCTATCATATCTTATTCACATATGTTCATATATACTTCACATATGCTTTGAATCATCTTTTTCACATAATTCATATAATCCTTTTCTATAATTCATATTTTATTTTCATATATGACATATCACATAAATCATATAGCACATATCAATTCATATAATCAAGTATACATACATTTCATGTCATTCACATTTTTAGAATCAATTCTCCATACACTATAATTATTAGAAATAGACTTATCTCAAGTCCAATTCCTTATAATCTTATAAACTAACATGCACTCATAAGAATCATATCAATTATATAACATTTTAGGAATTACTTCTTATCATAGTAACTCCGTCACTGGCTCATCGCAAGCCAATGTTTTTCGATAGCATAAGTACAATTAAATTGCACTCACTTTAGCCTTGCTTTGATTCAATCCTAATCCTTTGATTATTCCAAAACTTGTTTAGGCTCAATATCTACATAAATATAACATTTCAAAAACAATTATCATAAACCTAAACATTACACTTGATGTTAATAACTTAAGTCGGTTTAATGAACGAAAATTACATTTTTCATTTAGGGGGAATCGATACCCCATCAGGGGGAATCTGTACCCCTTGCACAATCTGGAATTTCGTTCAAACACAGGAAAATCATTGTTCATGCCCGAAAATTCACTATATCAACTTAAATTCTTCATGTTTCATTCTCTTTTATATTCTTAGCTCAAATATACATACTTAAACTAATTTATATCCATTCATTTCATCTTAAACCTCAAAATTCTATTCTCCATATAGAAATTAATAATCATACCAAATTTTCCATGTTATCCAAACTTAATTCTAACACTTCTATCTTCTTATTCTCATAGATGACAAGTCAAATTCAACTTAAAATTCAACTGATCAACTCTATTTCAAGATATCATTCAAGAACTCAAAATCTTTAATCTCTCCTATACCTTTCATCTTATTGTTTTAGAACAAATTAAGCTTTCCTTAAGCTTAATTATCATCTAATGATCAAAACCCAACCTTTAATTGAACAAATAATCAACTAATGAAGAAACTTACCTTTGCCTTTGAGCTCTTACGGGAGGAGAAGAAAATGAAGAAGAAGATGAAATCATCTTCCCACATTTTTCTCCTATTAAAGGGGATAAAAATATCTTTCATGACAAATGACCATTTTGCCCTTTAATTCTTTGGATAATTACTAACAACTTTCAGGAAATATCCCCAATTAAATCATTAAACTATTCAACTATTTTACTTTGACCAACAAATTCTGAAATATTTCAATTTGGTCACTAACCCGGTATTGAGAATGTTACAACTAACTCAGGATTCAGAGTGTTATAAGAACCCTTACCATCATATTTGGTTATACTATTGTTCTCTCTTCCTCATTCTATTGGAACCATCACAAAAAATATATTAATTTTAAGCTAGTTCATACTAATTTTGTAAAAGTTTTATCTTTTATTGTACTCGGTAATGGAACACAAGAAGGAGTAGAGGGCATGAACCTCCAAAAATTTAAAAATTATAATTTAGACCCTTAATTTAAAAAAATAATTTAACCACCAAAATTTTAAAAAATTCAAACTAAACTTTAATTTTTTAATGTTCTTAATTAAACTGTCTCCCATAATATTTAAAAGGGTAAACTACATAAATGACCACGTAACTATGGACCAAGTCACAAAATGATCACCATTTTCAAATTTGTGATAATAATACCATTGAACTATTTAAATGGGTTCAAAATAGCCATACGACGTTAATATTTAATGGTGGAGTTTATGTGGCAATTAAAAAATTGGTATAATTAAGGCACGGGTCCTTGTAAAGTTATGTATTCACAGTGCTGGCACCCTACTTTGTTTTCTTCCATTTTGGTCACTAGTATATGATTTGTTTCCTTTGATTTTCATTTAATCCAATTTGATCATGATTTTATTTTTAATTTGTCTAATGCCTTAATTTGGGTATTAACTTTAAAATCTTTTTATTCTAGTCATGTATTAAATTTTTAGATTAAATCCTATAGATTTTAGAATTAATCAATTTGATCACCAAGATTAACTTTAATTCTTAATTTTTAATTTGGTCCTAATTTCAATTTAATTTAATAAATTTATTTCTCCAATAAAATTGTGACACATGTCACAATATTATGATTATAATTTGAATATTAACTATAATATATAATATATCTATATTTTTTAATATTAATTATAATATACATGTGTGTATATTATATATATATATATATATATATATTATAATTTGAATATTAAATTATTTTTTAATGATTTCATACATATAATCATTAAAAAATATAAAAACAATAAAATAATTTGAATATTAAATTATTTTTTAAGTTACGCTATTTTAAGAGATTTCTAAGAGAAGAGGCTTGTTCTAATAAAAATATAATAATTTATTAATTACCGGATATTATTATAGGTGGATAGAATTTAAATTCAAATATCAATGATCGTGTTACAAATGATATGAAGGTATTATTATAACATGGAATCCACGTGATGAACCCTCTAGGCTTGGATTTTTGATCCGTCATCAAAGATCGGCGAGAGGGGCGTCGCTTTTAGCTTCTTCCTTGCTTGGGGGCACATCATTTGGTTTATGCTCAGCCGCTTCAGCTTCCTTCGCTGGTTCTTTTGTGATATCCTCCACCTTATCTTCATTATTCCCCTTGGTGGCTCTATCATCGTCGTTCTCCGTTGGGTTCTCGGTCTTTGGAACGTCTGTCTCGGCAGAAACAACCTCAGAGGACGACGATAATTGAGCCTCCTTTTCCGCCTCCTGTTCGGATTTCTCAACCTGACTCACACCTCTATTCGTGTTGCTCTGCATTTATTAGTATCAAAACTATAACGATGAAATTAATAAACAATATTGTTGTACCATAGGTGAGTTGCTTTTGTCACTTCAAAATAAATAAATCTTAAAAAGTAATTAAATCATAAAATTAAAAGACTAAGGATTTAATTCATTAATTTTAAAACCGATAAGGTCTTGAAAAAATGATTATACTATAAATTTTTGGGAGACAAAAACTTAATTGAAGTAGTTTCAAAACTACTAGCGACTTAAAAGGAAATTAGACCATCAAAGTTCGGGGACATTACCCCTCCCACCTATAATATGTAATCCTTTTTTTGGGATTTTATTTATCTCATAAAGAAATATTGACAAACGATCGAATCTGTATCGATTACGATTCTTCATTTAAATCAAAAGGAGTGAACCACCAACTATCAACGAGTCAAACCTGTTCCCATCATATATGACTTGTAAAGTGCATGATATACCTGAGCAGTGGCCTGAGGGTGAGGGCTGTCAGAGGGTGAGGGCTGTCAGAGCTTAAAGGAGAGGCGGCGTGGCTGTCCAACTCCTTAGGTTTGCTCGCACAGCCACCCATGATAGAATCGGAATGGGGCGGGCGAGTTTCTGGAGGTGGTCGGATTGATGTTTGTAATAAGGGGATGATGAATAAGCTTTGAGCTGAGGTTGAGGCAATGAAGGAATGGGAGCCAATCCATTAATATAGTACCACCACCTTCTCATCTTTAGCAAATATTGCCCTTCCGCTTGTTACGGTGGAGTGGACCTTGTCAATCGGCGTATACACGGTGCCGCTTAGTTTTCTCGACCGCATTTCGTGCGACGATGACCATTCCGTATATCCGTTGGTGTTTGTTATGACAATTTGGTAGAATTACTAGAACAGACCCTAAAAAATGAGCAAATCGACCCCTTGCATTCCTAAAAGAGAAAAGTGATCCACACGTTAAAAATTCCATCCATTTTACGGTTAATTGTTCGCATAAAAATTATATATAAAAAAGATGTTTTTGTTCGCAGGTTACATCGATTTGCGATGAGATAATAACATTATTAGAAGAGATCTAATTTTTATCTAATCAAATGATAACTAGGGATGACCACTCAACCCGAACCCGACGGGTTCCGACCGATCGGGTCAGGATTTTTTAAGTGTGATATTCGGGTCGGGTTCAGGTTTAGGGTGAAAAATACCCGACTCGACCCGACCCGAAAAATATATATAATGTTACCTTATATATTTAGGAATAATTACAATAATACCCATCTATATATAATTTTTTTCAATTAAGCCACTATTTTTATTGACTAAATTTTTTTTTCGGGTCGGGTCGGGTCTCGGGTGGAGGTTCCCTTGTTCTCGGGTCGGATGGACCAAAAACCCGACCCGACCCATTGCCATCCCTAAATTGATAACACATGTCACCTCTTGATTGGATATAAAATAAATAAAAATAACTTGTATTTGGGAAGGTTTGAGCTTGACTTATTGGCCAAAAAGAGAACAATCAAACCACTGAGCCAAATACTTCATTTGGTTAAATATTGCACAAAACTATATGTACCTTATAATATTGTTGATATAAAGATAAAAAAATAAAACCATTCAAACGACGATTCGAACTTAGACTAATTATAAAATATAAGATCACCTAAATTAGTTAAACAAATATAAAAGTTTTATAATTAAATAGATTATATGTATTATAAATCGTATTTAATACAAGGTTTAAATTTTAAAATAAATTTATTATTTTTACATTTTAAACTAAATTTAATATTTTTGTACTTATTTTTATAATTTTATATTTATTTTTAGAAATATAAATATGAAAAATTTTGAATTTAATTTAGAAATATAAAGATAATAAATTTAATTTGAAAAAAAATATTGAATTTCATTTAAAATGTAAAAATAATAAATTTACTTTAAATTTTAAACCTTGTATTAAATACGTTTTATAATACATATAATCTATTTTATTATAAAAATTTATATTTGTTTAACTGATTTAGGTGCTCTTATATTTTATAATTGATTTAGATTCGAATCCTTATTTGAATAATTTTATTTCTTTATTTTTCCATCATTAATAATATTATAAGATAAATATACTTAAGCGGAACATTTGGCCTAATGACGTGGGTTTTCTTTCTCCATCCAAGTGACCCAGGTTCAAATCTCATTTATATAGTTTACCCTAAAAATAAATGTGCTTCAAACTTTTGTACAAGTGTTTTAACTTGAATACTTTTGTTTTATTTTGTTTAAAAATATTTTGGTCACTTTGTTGGCCGAATGTGACAAAACTCGTTGGTTTTGTAAGTTGGGTTTGAGATGTTACATTTAGTGGTATTAAAACTTAGACTAAGTCGATTTTAAATCAACCTAGTTGTATCTTACATGCCCCTAAAATGGAAGTACCCATTGAATGAAACTCCGAGGCTATTCATCCATCGTTGAATTGGTAAGTAATATTGAGTGAAACATTTATGAATATTGATCCTTGATTTTATAGCTATTGGGACGAATATAAAAATTAGGTTTCTAATAACAATTATACAAAAAATTGAATAGTAACAACAAGTATAAATAAATAAATTTATTTATAAATTTATTTTATTACATTCAATTAATTATCTAATAAATATATCAAAATTTATATAAAAAACATCAATAATTTTTTTAAACATTCAACTAACTCAACAGTCGGATTTGGGATCAATTAAGAGCCTCGGAATCGTAGAACAATGAGCCTTGGGTCCTTGGTGATGATTTCAACGCGATTTGCAATTCCATTGAGAGGTAGGACATATCAAGGAGAAGAATTGGAGTTTTCCCTAAATTCTGTAATTTCTTATTTCTCTCGGGGTTGATCGATGTAGGTTTCAATGAACCTTGCTTCACATGGCAACATAGTGACCTTTGCCAGAGGATAGATCGATGCTTAGGCAATACCAGGTGCACTGAAATGTTCCACTCGACTACTATTAGTCACCTACAAAGAATCATTTCCGATCATAGGTCAATTTTGCTGAAGATCAATGAGACTCTATGTGTAAGCAATAAATACCCTTCCACCTTGTGGATGCCTGGAATGATTTGTTGAAAAGTCAATGGGGCCAACTTGGCCAAAAACTTCCAAAATACATGGTGGTGGCTTTCGGTGCATTAATGCACTGAAATTATACAGCTTGCAATTGTTGATTTTTTAGTAAAGGGATAATCACAATTTAGTCATTGTACTTTAGGGTATTTATAAGATTAGTCATTAAGCTTAAACTATAAATACCCTAGCTCATTTAGCCTCAAAACCATCCCAAATCATTCTAGCTTTCTCCCAATACTAGAGAATTTAGAGAGTTTCTTGAGAGTTGTTTTCTCCTTTTTATCAAGAGAGAATTATCATTGTTTTCTCCTTGGTAGATCGAGAGAAGTTGTAATTCCTATTTTCTCATAGTGAAATTCTTCTACCGTTGCCCGTAGTTTTTACCCTATATTATTTAGGGGTTTCCACGTAAATTTTATGTCTCTTTTATCTTCATTTTTATTTTCTTAAATTATTAATTGCGATTTTACTCTATCCGATAGCCGTATTCCGCAACAATTGGTATCAGAGCCAGATTTGAGTGTGTAATATCTACTTATTGTCTTTGTGGTTACCACTAAAAGGTGGATCCTCTAACATAAGAAAGTAAGAAGGTATTACCCATTCTTTGAAGGTTCTAGAGAACTATTCACGATAGTGAAATAGTGAGAGCTATCTATAATAGAAGCTATGACAATGAAATTTGATATTGAAAAATTCAATGGGAGAAATTTCTCATTGTGAAAATTAAAGATGAAGGCCATCTTGAGAAAAGACGGTTGTTTAGCAGCTATCAGTGAAAGGCCGGTAGATTTCACAGATCACAACAAAAGGATCGAAATGGACGGGAATGTTATGGCAAACTTTCATCTAGCATTAGTAGATGAAGTATTGTCAAGCATTGAGGAGGAGGAGACAGCTAAGGAGATATGGGATCATCTCACCAAATTGTACGAGGTCATATAGTTGCACAATAAAATTTTCCTTAAGAGGAAATTGTACACTCTCCGTATGCCAGAATCTACTTCAGTGATAGAGCACTTAAACACACTGAACACTTTATTTTCTCAGCTTTCATACTTAAGATTTACAATAGGAGAACAAGAACGTGTTGAACTTCTAATTCAAAGTCTACCTGATTCGTATGATCAACTCATCATCAACTTGACAAACAGTAATGTCACCAGTCTAGTCTTCGATGACGTTGCAGCTACTGTTCTACAAGAAGAAAATCGGCGCAAGAACAAGGAAGACAGACAAGTAAATCTGTAACAAGCAGAAACGTTGACAGCGATGAGATGGAGATCAACAGAACGTGGCCAAAGCAGCAGTCACAAACATGGTAGATCGAATTCGAGGAGCAAGAAGAATTTAAAGTGTTACAACTGTGGAAAGAAGGGTCACTTGAAGAAGGATTGTTGGAGTCTAAGTAAAAACCTCAATCCACAAGGCAATACCGCAAACACTTCAGATGATGAATATGCTCTATGCTGTGAAGCATCAACCACCGTGGAAGGTAGAAAAAGATTTGCAGATATATGGCTCATTGATTCAGGAGCAACATATCACATGACCTCAAGAAGAGAATGATTCCATCAGGATGAACTTGTCTCAGGAGGATCTGTGTATAGTTGCAATGATCATACCTTAGAGATCGTTGGCGTGGGAACCATCAAATTGAAGATGTATGATGGAACAATTAAAGTTGTTCGAGATGTGCGGCACGGGAAAGGCCTGAAGAAAAATTTATTATCCTACGGATTGTTGGATAATAATGCAAGCAAGATTGAAACACGAAAAGAAATCATGAAGGTTTTCCGTGGAGCGCTTGTGGTGATGAAAGGAGAAAAGATAGCAACAAACTTATCATGCTGAAATGAGAGACTTTGCTAGAAGCAGAAGCCTCTGTTGCGTTATGTAGTTCAGATTCTACAATGATATGGCATCAGAAACTTGGACACATGTCAGAACAAGGAATGAAAGTCCTTGTGGAGCAAAAGCTACTTTCAGGCTTAACACATGTATCACTTACATTGTGCGAGCATTGCATAACAAGTAAGCAGCACCAGTTGAAATTCAACACATCAAATTCTAGAGGAAAAAGTGTTCTAGAATTGGTTCACTATGATGTATGGAAAGCACCATATACATCCCTAGGCGGAGCAAAATATTTTGTCTCATTTATTGATGACTACTCTAGGAGATGTTGGGTGTACCCTATTAAAAAGAAGTCAGATGTGTTTTCCACTTTCAAAAACTTCAAAGCACGGGTGGAACTTGATTTTGGAAATAAGACCAAGTGTTTCAGAACAGATAATGGAGGAGAATACACAAGTGAATAATTTGATGACTTTTGCAGGAAAGAGGGCATCAAAAGAAAGTTCACAGTGGCGAACACTCCTCAACAAAATGGAGTGGTAGAGCGGATGAACAGAACCTTGTTAGAAAGAACAAGAGCAATGTTGAGGGATGCAGGCCTAGAAAAATCATTCTGGGTAGAAGCAGTCAATACTGCTTGTTATTTGGTGAATCGAGCTCCATCAACTACAATAGAGCTTAAGACACCAATGGAGATGTGGACTGGTAAACCAG